CTCTCTCTCTCTCTCTCTCTCTCTCTCTCTCTCTCCCCGAGGGCACGTGTCAGTGTGTTTTTTTTTTCCCACGCACCTGGCGCACCACTCGCAGCGCACAGTGCGCGTGCTGTCATTCCAGCGCACAGCGCACTGTGCACCAGCCCTTATCGCACTGCGCACTGGTGTGCCGCAACTATGCTATGAATGCTTGATCTAACATTTTCTGTTTCACTATATGCTGGCAAATGCAGGTGCACATGCAACATAGGGACAGCGCAGACATCAAACCAGACTTATGAAACAGCCTCACCTTCTTCTTCTTACCTTTGCTGTGGGGCAGCCAGCATTCATGCTTGCCCAAGCATTTGTTTGCCTTAGCTATTCTCTCCAGTCTGTTCCCAACTTCCCAGCAGTATGTCGAAGCGTAGGTTGTCTTCCACTATAAAGGTCAAGGAATGCAGTACTGCCTCTATCTTCTCTCCTCTTTCCAACTGAAAGCTTGCCTTGATCGCCTCAACGTACTCATCTACACTCTTCAATCTATCATCTGATAATGTTGGCACTACCAGTCCTTCTAACTTCTGCAATTTCACTCCAAGATGCAACTTTCTCACAACTTTACACGATATGTAACTTCTAGTGGATCCACTACCTATCAATGTGCCTAATCCAACTCTATTCACCTCTACATCTACTACATTTTATGACCCTCTATCTCCTTATTCATTTCAGCCCACGCTTTGCGTTAAGTGATCAGCCCTCCGCCTCCGCCTGCAAGGGAACCACCCAAAGAGACTCTAAAACAAGCAGCCTCTAGGCAACCACCTGGGTGGGGGTCTACATCAGCCTCTGCTGAGCTATACTGTAATCAAGAGGGTCCTACTTCAGCGCACACTTCCATTTGTCTATCAAAAGATTTCAAAACTCGCAATCCCAATAAAAGAAGCTGTAACTTCTATTGGTCATCCCCTTTATTGTTCGCTGCCATTCAGGGCAGAAGAGGATGATTTGAGCTGTATTCCCGCGCATTTAACGCATCTTCTTTCATTGCTTCTCTTCGTCCACTGTTCTGCTGACACCTTCATCTCCTTCCATGGCTCTCCTTTTTCTCGCCCTAGATTCGACAAGTACCTCCTTGCACCACAAGGTGGAAAATTACGTCCACCTCCATTGGTGCGAACATAATTGTTCCCACCCCTTCCTCCTTGAGGGTAGCAGCCGCCTCAGCCTCCTTGATGGAAGCCACAACCTCCTCCACCTCCCCGGCCTGGGATCCACAACTTCCGACCTCTTCCCTGCCTCCCGTGCACGTTGTGACAAAAGTAAAATCCCCTCCTTTGACCGACTTCTTACCCTCTCTAAACACTGGACGAAGTGATGGTTCGCTAGCTGTAGGAAGCTGGCTTTTTTTTTTTTTTTTTTTTTTTTTTTTTGACTGGAAGCTGGCTTATTCTAATGCATGCTTAGATAACTTCTCATGTGTCTGTTCCGATTCACGAACTTCTGCAAAGATGCTTGACCTCAAGGTCTTAGGCAAGGTTAAGACAAAGTGATTCAAAATGTGCGCTTTGGTCACACTGTGATCCTTGACTTGGCACGACTTCTAGATTTGTGCCTTCAAGGTGGCAACAATTTTCCACTACCTGCGTTCAATATTTACAATGTCGTATTCCGCCCGCCTGACCCTATTCTCGTCCTAAAATGCTTATTCAGTTTCTCAAAACCATATCTGTATCTGCCTGTTGGGAGTACTTCACACCATATTCCTCCCGCATCTGGCCCCGCCTCCGCCTGCGCAATCGCCCAATTCAGCACATTACCCCCCCAGGCATGACACTGCCATGAAAACGTTGGAGCAGTAATCAATCTTCTGCGCATACAGGTAAGTACAGAGTCTACACACCGAGGCTTTTCACTACCTCCTACCATGTAAGACCCTACCTTTCTCTCTTGTTAACCTCTATCCAACGATTGACTTTATCATTTTATTCACTACTGGAATATGCTTGGCAACCGACTCTAGCCAACTGGCAATTAATCAGCAAAGTCCTTAGGAATTCATTAAGCCACCACTCCATCTGAAGCCAAATTGACGAACCAAACAAATGCATTTTGTCGAGTCTATTTTCGATCGACACCCCGACTTGGCAAATCTAAGGTGGTACTGGTACTAGTAGTGCGTGACAAAAGGAAAGACAAACAGACCCCATCATTGCAGTTTCCAGGGAGAAAATCTAAGGTGGTACCGCTACTGGTACTAGTGGTGTGTGGCAAAAGGACAGGCAAACAAACCTGCCGTTGCTATGTACTTGTATTCGAACACGAGGGTATTGGATGCTTCCGGATCACGGCCCTCCCCACACACTGCTCGGGTCGCCCAGTTCGGCCCTCCAGGCGGTTTCTCTTGGGCCTGCAAAACGGATTGCAAGTTATTGAAAGACGATGTTCCAGTTCTTTTTCAACCTTTGAAAGAACAAGGGGATGCCCGCCGCGTGATCATGAAGGAGGAAAAAAGACTGGTACCGGTACCGATCGTAAGATCCATTCCCATTTTCCACATTCAGTGAGTAGACGAGTTGGACATTCGGTGAGTAGCCAAGTGTAAAGTAAGATCTTTCCACTTCCCAGCGTAAGATCCACGCGCGTTGTTTCTTTTTTGTGGCTGGGGGGCAACAGTCCGGTTGCTTATTACTGGCAAGCTTGTTTTTACATCCAAGAGATAAGGGGGGAAAAGACGAGAAAGAAGATCAGGCCATCCCTTGTGGCACTAGCCGCCTACCAAGGGGGGGGACTTACAGGGCTTCCCTTCCCCAGTCCGTGGCCTTCCTTAGGGGGTTTCCCTGCTGGTCGGGAGGCTTGCTAGCAGCACCCAGTCACACAGCAGGGTAACCTCCAGGATGGCAAGACGCAGGGGGGGGCGCATCGTTTCACAAGTCTTTTTGTTTTGTTTTTTTTTCAGGGGGGGGGGGGGGGGGGGTTGGTTCGCGTGTCGTTTCTTTTTTGTTTCCTCGCCGTGCGTCGTTTTGTAAGTCTGTTTTATGGGCCTCACTCGGCTACTCACCGAACGTGCAAAATGAGAATGGATCTTACGCCGGGAAAGCAGAGCATCCAAAGACGCGATTTCAATCTGCAATCTCAGTGCATTCTGCAGGAATCCAGGATGGGGCGTCTATTTTTTCCCTTCTTTCAAGTTCTTTGGGATTTGCCTCCCTGCTCTTCTGTCTTTTTCAAGTGCAAGCCCCTCCGCCTATGGAAAAACGAACAAGGTCAAGAAAGGAAGGACACAGCATACCTCAAGTCTTGCAAGCTGCTCCTCTTTACGAACTCCTGTTTCTTGCAGGATGAGCAGTATGTTGTCTCTGACACTTAGGCCCCTGAAAACACTAGCTTCCTGCAAATGTCCAAAAATGGAAAACGGCCAAAAACAGCCGTCAAGGACCAGTTACAATAAGAGAACGAGACAAGGAGCCAGAAGGAAAACCAAGTTATAACATTTACATGTGTACCATCCTGATATTACATTTACACGTACAGGATTCAAAGTTCAAACTCATGGCTTGTTTACCAAGATGTGTGTACCAAGTGCTGCTAAATGAAGTTACGTCTGGTTAAACCACCGCTACCTTTCCCATATGTCGGCCGTGGGCAATGCCGGGCATCTAGTAGCCTACTGCTGAAAAATAGCCGCCATGCCGCCGTCGATATGTTTCATCGACGGCGCGTGGCAGCCAAATTTGAATTTGAGGCCCGTGGCCCCACATCTGAGAAAGATACTGGTGGTTTAAGAAAGCTTGTTAGACAGATGGGAATCTGCATTGAGATGCGGATTCAGTAGGGTTCACAAGGTACTCTTTGACTGCCAATTGGCTGTTGATTGGCAATCAGTTATTGGCTTTCAATTGTTGGCTTGTTGGCTTTCGATTGGCTATCAATTGTCAGCTATCTACTGTTGGTTGTCGATTGTTGGCTGTTGACCGTTGGCTACCAATTGTTGGGTATGAAATAATATCAATTGTTGGCTATCAATTATCAATTGCTGGATAACCATTGTTAGCTATCGATTCGCAGATGGGAATCAAGTCCAAAAAAAATCAATTTACATCTAGGCTGGTCCCCGCGCCGCCCGGCGACCTGGATGTCGCCTTGGGGGGGGGGGGGGCAGGGGGRGGTTTGGACTTTTTTTCACCGCAGGGCCCTTTTCGCCCCCCCAGGACGTGTTGTAGGCCAAAAAAAAGAAAACGGGTCCGGTAGGCCCGCCCTGAATGATTCAAAAACCGCGGCCAATCTGGACCGCCGATCTTGAGAGATTGGCGGCCCGGATAGGTCGCACTTTTGAATCGTTCAGGGCGGAAACTACCAGACCCGTTTTCGATTCTTTTTGGCCTTGCTCCAGTACACAAAACTGTAGATGCATTTGGATGCTTCTTGGGCCGTGTGCATGCATGCAGAGTGTTCTGTAGTGGAGCAAGGCCAAAGCTCCCTTCCCCCCTACCCCCCCCCCCCCTTCCCACCTCCCCAGATTTACTTTT